CCTTTTGCTATTATTACCTGAGGAGGTTGATCGATATTGACGATCTAACCCAATTTGCAGTGGTGTTTGGTGGTGAATTTACTCCAGGTTTTAATCCAAACCATCCAAGGTGCTGACTCTTATCCCCAAAATAGGATCAGGAATTGGAGAGCCCATTTAAAGTTCAGGTTAAGACCTGAAGCAACATCACTGCCCTACTGATCTGGAAACCACCAGATGTTTGCCATGGACCAGATGTGACCTGATATTTAACATAACCCCCATAACCTGTTAATCTTTATATCAATAAAAAAGCATTTATTAGGACTCTACTGTATTCTGGATCATGTTGTAGCTCAAACCAGTAGATTATTGGCAGTATTATATGTGGCTACTTGGGAGTAAGTCCATTCAGTTCAATGGGACATAATGTGTAGGAAAGGCATGCCCAGCAGTAGCAAATGTTACAAAGTCAACTGGGGTGCATCTGCACTGTAGAAATAATGCAGTTTGACACCACTTTAACTGCCATGGCTGCATCCTACAGAATCCTAGGATTTTGTGGTTTTGTGTGAGACACCACCGTTCTTTGGCAGAGAAGACTACCACTTTAAATGCTGTAGTTGCATCCAATGGAATTAAATGCTGTAACTCCATCCTATGAAATCCCAGAATTTGTAGTTTTACAAGGTCTTAGCCTTCTCTGTCCAAGAGTGATGGTGCTTCACAAAACTACCAATCCCAGAATTCTGTAGGATGGAGCCATGGCAATTAAAGTGCTATCAAACAACATTATTTCTACAATGCAGATGCACCCAATGGGTTTCTGTGGCTAACCAAGGATTTGAACCCTGGTTTCCTGAAATCCTAGTTGACCAGACAAACCACTACACCTCACTGGTTGTCTCATCACATTTTTATCTAAATTTAGGAGTGGGGATTGTGCGTGGTTATTTAAAAAACAAGCAAACCACTATTGGGACAAACTGAAGATTTTTTAAACTTATCATGGACGTAATGGATGGTGAATTTATTAAAGAAAAAGTTTAACCCTCCTATATCCATATGCACTGGTTCCGGTCATGATTGAAACAATATGTGCTTGTCTTATTTATTTTTTTAACTTCAGGTACATGCTACGGTTGGAATCCACTTGGTAGTCCCAGATAGATCTATTAGATGAATGGGATTTACATGAGTATTAACTCACCATTCAAAAATTGGTTCAGTGCTAGTTGGGGCTAGCAATAGCAGAGATAGGATGTATGCAGCCCTCTAGATGTTACTGGACTTTAACTCCCACCACTCTTCACCATTAGCTATGCTGACTAGGGCTGCTGGGAGGTGCAGTCCAACCATATTTGGAGGGCTGAATGATTCCCACCCCTGACAAACACTCAGTCCCAGGGTTTAACAAGGAACGTGTTTTTCCCCTCAATACGATATTTTCTACAAACTATGATACCCAGGATATATATATTTTTTGTGTGTGTGTGTGTGTGGAGGGGAAATGACATCAAAATTAAGGCAGTGATAGGCCTGATGACGAAACCATTGGAGCTTCGAAAGCTTGCAACAAGTATATTGTGCATTTTGGCTGGCCAATAAAGGTATCACTGTTTGGTGGATTTTTGTTTGAACCTTCATTTGAAATGAGGGCAATAGGACGCTGCCTCAGACCCAAGTTTGGAAGGAAGAAGTTAGTTTTACACAGTTACTTGAAACAAATGAGGTTTTTGCAAGTTTGGCTCTTTCACCCTGCATAGTTATAGCTCTATGATTCCACTTTTACTCTCATGGCTGCATCCTATGGAGCCTGGGTTTTGTAGTTTGGGGAGACACTAGAACTCTCTGGCAGAGAATTCTAAATGTGTGTGTGCGATTTCAAGTCTCCTGCCAACTTATGGCGAAAGCATGAATTTCATAGGGTTTTCTTAGGCAAAGAATACTCAGGTGGTTTT